ATGCAAGACTAGGTCAGCCACTCCTCACAATTCTCTACCCTTGGGTTGAGGCAAGTAGCTTTCCGGCTATGACAATTGGCGGACGGGGTGCCACCCTGCACCCTGGCCCTAGGGAAATGTGAGGTGGCTGACCTGAGGGGGATGACGGTACAAAGGAAGAGAGAGGGTGGTGGTGGTGGTATGTGCTGAGAGGGTAGGGACCGAAGAAGGAAAGGAAGAGCTGGTGGTTCAGAGGCCAACGCAGTGACTATATTGGTGGGCCTATGCCTCAGATTCGGGGAGGTGAGGATTAGAAAATTATTAGTGAGGCCACTCTTCCCATGACCACTTCTTTGACCAACTGTTTATTACGGGTACTGGCTGGACATTGTGGATGCTATAGGAACTCTCAGGCCCGTTGACATACACAATCACAACTCAAGGTGCCAGCTTTGTGACTCTACTCTGAGGTTCTGTCTGGCCAGATAACACCAAGCTTCAGTTACCTTAATGGCAGACAGGAGGGGACAGATTTGGTTAAAGGTTACATTTGTCAATCTTTACTAAATTCCTCCAGTCCCCAGAAGAGAAACGACACCAAAAAGGCCGAATTCAGTTCGACAGCCACATACACCTGTACACAGCTGTCTCTTGCCAAGCCCTTGGGAAAACCCAGAAAGAGACAATGTCCCCTCCTTCTTGGTCTACACCTCTCATCTGAAAAGTAAGTGAGTTCTAGCAGGTGAGTCCCAGGTGGCTCTCAGCCCTGAGATTCTATCTTAGAACAGTTATGCAGAGATGGTATAGAAACTATCCTTGGGCAATTGGATTCCGTTATTTACATTTTTTTTTTAGTTTGAGATGGGGTCTCCTGTAGCCTAGGCCGACCTAGAACTTACTATTCTCCCTCTCTTCATCCACATCTCAAACACTAGGATTACAGGTGTGCACCTATGGTCACTCTCTGTGGTACTGGGGATTGGACGCAGGAGTCTGTGTATTCTAGACAAGTGTTCTGCCACTTGAACTCCATCCCCAGTTCCTGGATCCCACTTTGAGTAAGTAGTGGGCTTCTGCCAAAAGGAGCCCTATCTCAAGCATTGCTGCCAATGAGAAAGAAGCTCCTTAAAATGCTTTGCTTTTTGAGACAGGGTCTCACGTATCTCAGGCTGACCTCCAGTTTCCTATGAAACCAATGTTTTTCAACTCTGATAGCCCTGTGTCAGCCTCCCAAGTGCTTGACTTGTGCCGCTGTGCTGGGTTTATTCAGTGCTAGCAGCTGAACTGAGAGTTCAAGTATGTCTCCATCCCATAATGTATCTTTTGAGTAGATTATTTTCTTGAAAGGTTTATTTTTTTGTTTGTCTTGGAGACATGGTCCCACTATGTAGCCAGCCTGGGACTCAGAGATCCCCTCACTTCTGAATGCTAGGCCTAAGGACATGTTCCATCTGGCTTTGAAGTCTTTACTTCAAGAACATTCTTAGGCTTCTGTGGGCCCTGGAGTCACGATCCCAGATCTGACACTTCCATGGATCTTTCACAGCCTCGCAAGTGGATGGAGACACACGACAGAAAGATTTGTCCCACAGTGTTTCTGGGAACAGGCTGTGACAGGAAACCCTACCTACCAGCTGAGCTCCTTGCCCTGCCTCAGACATTCTGGGCACAAATAAGAATAGAGCCCAGAGCTGAAAGTCATCCCAACCCTAGGTCTGCTGGGTTTCCAGGCCAGCTCAGGCGGGTAAGCAGAGCAACTTCACCCTGTCTCCAGCTGTGGAGAGCAGCACTGGCTGGAGCAGAGACGGGTTCCTAGTACACAGCTGGAAAAGGAGTCCACTATAGACATCGATGCCCAGGAGCCAAGCTGCTGGGATTCCTTCCCTTTCAGGTCAACAGCACATGCTCAGCACAACATTCGAGTTCTCTAAGGGATCTACGCGTGGAGAGGTATGGAGAGGCACAGCAGGCTATGGAGCCCAACAGGGCTCCACAGGCTCAAGAGATAACCCATTCAGCAGCCTCCTCCCCAGGGAACTCTAACCCCATGATGCCTCCCCACTCAGCTTCCAAAGGTAGTCTCCTCCTTGTGGAAGGAGGGGTCCCAGGAAGACAGGCAGACTCTCAGGTGATCTTCACCTGAGTCTAACACTCCACACACACAGTGTGACCTCCGGAGGACTTTAAATTGCTGGTCTCTGTCCCACCCCAGGAGGCCACACCCCATCTGAAGCCTCTGTGCCTTTTAGCAACTGCTGCTGATAGTCCGGCTACCTCAGAGTGAATCCTGTCAGAAAACCCCTGCCCCCCTCCCCACTTCTGGAACCTTCCCTTCAACCTAGGGGCTGGTTCCCTCCCCTTATAGAATTCCTCACAGAGCCCATCTCAAACTCCCTAGAGTTGGCTCCCATCCCCCAGCCTGCATTTTTTCCTACACCTTACAATTCATCCTAGCTTAGTGACCCTAGGAAGAGCTCTCCCACCTCCTGCGGATCCTTTTTTTACTTTAAAAATCTCCATACGAAAACACTCCAGGCAGCTCTTCACAGCCCACACTGGGCTCATTAAGACAGCCTCCCTTTGCCTGTAGGAAGCAGTCACACAACGACTGCCACTCGATAACATCAGCAGAATCCCGATGCTCGCTCAGGCTGTCTCAAGCCCATCAAGTGTCCAATACACCCATTCAGTTCAGCTGCTGATACTGTTGAGTTGGCTACAATGTTAAACCTGTTGCCCTTACTGTTGCTTCATCAGATGAGGACAACCTTCGAAGCAGGTTTGTGATCACTTCAGTAGGAAGTTGAAGTTTGGAAAGTACACTACCTCATCTACAGGCACACAAGTGTGGGGCCCAGTCTGAGATGGTGTCAACCCACCTTTCTCCTGCCAGGGGTTTATTCATCAAATGGCCATCAGCTGGAAAGGACTAAATCAGTCTCTCTTTTCATCAGCCAAGGTACATGGAAGCCAAGACATCTACAGCAGTGGAAACAGAGGTCCCCTTCTGTCCCTCCATTCTACTTTACAGATAGGAAAGTGGAGTGCAAAGGTCTGACTTGCCCTGTGGGCAAAGGAAAAGCCCAGAAAGGATCCTAGGATAAAGGTTGTTTACCTCCAGGGTGTGCTCAAGTCACCAGCTTAGGAGGAAAGCTGGAGACCTGTCCGGATAATTCCTTTGTTACAGAGACCAGCACTGTAAGCCTACTGTTTTGCATCTCATCACAAAATTCCACTAACAAAGGTGGGGCTGAGGAAGGTTTTCATCAGCCACTAAGGAGCTGGCCTAGAGGGAAGTGTAAAACCACCACAACCCAATCCCAGGTTTGCCTCCTAAGCCATTTTTGCCCTGGATATGATTCACCAACATCATAATCAGTTTGCTGTCCTCGTCATCAATGTGACCATTCCTCCTTGTCACCAAACACTGTCAAAGAACATCTCTATATTGCCACACACTGTAAATATGATATTTCGGGGTTTGGGTATCGGGGCTCAGTGATGCTAAGACACTTGCTGCTTGGAACAAGGCCAGGTTTTTAGACACATTTGTTCACACTTATTGCTCTCTGACTAAGAACTGTCCCTGCGGTATAGTCTGGAGAGGGCTTCTCAGCAGACATGGTTCCTAGATAGTTCTCAGGTGCCAGGCAAGAACCTTGATGTCCAGGGACCAGGCTGGGAGCAGTTCACTAATGGCTTTGAGGCGTCTCCCTTCCTCTGTAAGACCAGAATCACTGCGGGCTAGCTAGCCCATATGGCTTTTGAATGATACTGGGGGTCGCCCTCCAAATGACTGCATGTGAAGACGCACCAAGAAGTTGTCAAGGCACTCCGCAAATTTGTCATCCCTTCTGATCACGTCAACTGTAGACTGTGGCTCTCCAAGCTCTTCTCATCTTCCTCGAATTGTACCCCTCCTCAAGGGACACAGCCCTTCCCCCCAGGCCACCCACCGGAGGCTTAAACCTCCTTTCCCTGAGCATCAGCCCTCACCACCCTGCCATCTCTCATTGTTCCCCCAACACCAACTCCCACAATCCCAGAGTCCCGTCTGGGCGGTTACCACAGTACTTCTGACCCTGGAAAGCCTCCCCTCGGTACTTTCTCCCTGCAGCTACCTGCTCAGGAAGGATTGGCTACTCGGTTTATGAGATATGCCTCTCTCCTGGGCTGAGTCTCTCAGCTGTTTGGCAGGGACTTTGGGACACCTGCTCTGATTACGTTTACAGACACTGCCTGACCTCTTAAACAGAAAGTAGCATTCCACCTTCAGAAAAAAGATAATGGGACTGCCTCCAAGCTGGGACTGATGGGAGATGGTACGCCTAAGACACAGTTCAAACCTCATTTGTGAAAGAAGTTTCTTGTTTACACAAAGGGGTGGGAGGGGCCCACCATCCTAGCCATGGTCTGAGAAAGGATCAGGTCCTGTGGCAACAAGAAGGCAAGGTCCCCACTGCACCAGACTGCGACCGTTGAAGGAGCACTTACTCCACCTGTCCCGGGACAGACTTAAGAAAAAGCGCCCGGACAAGAAGCACGCTGCGCTCGTGAGCACTTAGAGGTTTACTGCTTCAGGGGCTCCTTCTTGTCCTCCCTGCCAGTCGCTTTGCTTAGTTTCAATGACCTCTCAATACAGTCTCTGGTTGCCCCAAACACGAGAAAGAGAAATCGCATTCTGGTGATCCCGAGGCAATCTAGGACCTCCCAACAACCCAAAGTTTTCCCCCTTTCTCCAGAGAACCCACCAAGTTGCCCCTTTACAACGTCACAGGCTCCGGCTCACTCCACACCAGGGAAGACTAGGGGTAAATCCACGATCTGGCTCAGCACCTGCAGCGTTCTCCAATTTGGAGGGGGCGTGGATGGTGCCAAGGTCAGGACTCTGCGTGCGGCCACGCGGGAGAGGCTGCAAGCGGTCCGACCACGCGGTGTAGCTGGCTTCCCAGGAACCCCACCAGGCTCGGGGCGGAGGGGAATGACCAAGGGTCCCGGCAGAGCCGCGTTTGTCTACTCACCAGGATCCTCGGAGAGAGATGGAGGCGACAGTAGCAGCACCAGCTGCAGTAGCAGCGCGGAGAGCGCCAGAGTGGGGCGCATGGTTGGCCTCGCCCGGGGACTCAGAGCAGGTGGCTGCGGCGCTGGCGCAGGGTCGCGCGTCTGGACGGCGGGAGCGTCGGCGCCGCTCGGGGAGGCCTGGCGACAGCCGCGAACTCCGGAGTCGCGATCCAGAGGCTCCCCCTGCCTGCCGCAGAGCTGGTCTAGGACGCGGAGCCAGCAGCGAGGAGCGAAGGTGGCTGTGGCCCGGGCGGTGTCTGCGCGGCTGCGGCCCCGCGCACGTTGCTGCGATGACTCCCGCCCCGTCCCGTCCGCGCTGGCCTCCGCCCCCTCCCCCAGGAGCTCGCCCGCAGCGGCGGCGGGGTCGGGCGGGGCGGCGGCTGGGCGGGCGCTGGGCTGCGAACAATAAGCAGAGAAGGAAACTCCGCCCTGGAGCGCGGCGGGCGGGGGAGCAGGGGCTGGCGGTCCCGGGCAATGTGTGTGTGTGTGTGTGTGTGTGTGTGTGTGTGTGCGCGCGCGCGCGCGCCTGCAGATCTGTGCCCATGCTGTGCGCGCGCCAGGGACCCTGTCAGACAATCGGTCCCTGCCACCGATGTCCTAGGCATTGCTTTTGCTTGGGATCAGCCGGGATCCTCCATAATGCTGCGGCCCTTACACGGAGGCACAGATCCCCAGTCTGGAAGTTCCGCTAAGAACCGACCCTTCCAGGCCCCCAAACCTCAGCGCCTTCTGCGGCAGAGCCAAGGACGCAAGTCCCCTACCTAGCAGGTGCCTGGATTTCGTGCAATCCCCAAGCAAGTCTGTGCTCTGGGATGAGCCCCGTACCATCTGAACGGAGTTTTTCTTAACCTCTCCCACCGCTGTACAAATGGACGTGACTCTTAAGGCAAAATTTTCAGCGCTTAATTCGTGCGCGTCTGTGTTCTAAGTGATTCGCTTGCTCTTCACGGCAGTCATATTTTTAAGCCTCGTTTTGCAGACAGGAAAATAGAGCTTTTTTTAAAAAAAAGAAGGTTTAAAAAGTTGTTTAAGATCCATTACGTGGTAAACAGCAGCCCTGCCCCTAAGACTAATATGGAAAAATACTTTGCACAGTGCCCATAATACTGCAATTACTCCATAAAAATTAATATTACTGAATAAAAAGCAGCAATGGAGATTTAAGGGCTTCGGAAATCCAACTTGGGCTCAAAACCTAGTTGTGCTAAATATCACTCTATATGCTTCGATTCTTTTCATACGAAAAACAGGGCTAATAACACTTCCAACAACTGCTGAGACACTTGCTTGGGAGAAGCACTTAGCGTAGGGCCAGGATCTTGGACAGCCTTGATGAAAGAAGTAGCCTTCGCTCCTGAGAAATGCGTAGACCTGAGGTGGGAGATCGGAATTGGAGAATCTCATAAAACCGAGTTTACTCTGTGAAAGAACAAAGAAGCTCGCATCCTATTCACCCCAGTTTGGGGGCCTTTGCGGGCTGCAGACTCTATGGAGTCCAGTGCAAAGGTGGCACCTCATAGGCGCCGGGATAACAGAGCTGAAGAGGGAGGGGAGGCTAACACCAAAGGGAGATGGCGAAAAATTGTCACACGTGACTCCTGGGTTGCTAATCGGGAGTCTTTCTGTCAGATGAGGCTAAGTGGAGAGATAGTTCTCGGGTGCCAAGGGCAGTGGACCTTGTGAACCTCTCAAGTGGGCTGCGCCCAGCATCATGGTGAAGTTACTTAGAAAGCGCAAGAGCGGGGTCGGGGTGTCTTTGCAGTGGGCCTCAAGTTTGGGAAGAGCTTTCTGGCTGTTTTCACTAGGAAGTTTCTGCATGATCATTCTGGTGTGGTTTTCCACGACGCGTATGAGAAAGACAGAGGGTGTTCCCTGTGAACACGCCAGGATGGTGTGTGTGTGTGTGTGTGTTTAATGGTCTTTTTTTTTTTTTAGCGCTGTTCTCCTCAACTTTAATCCCAAGAAAAGGCTTGCTTCTCAAACCAAGCAATACTTTTTCACAACAGAGGTTGAAAATTGTATTTTGTATGTGCCCCAAGTTAATCCATGCCTTTGCCTTCAGCGAATCAACTTCTATACAAACTCAAAAAATAGTCAATATTAATTTTGTGGATAGAGTTTGGGACATTTTAAATTCATTTGAATTTGAAATTCATTTTAAAGTTCCTGATTGGCCTCATTATCAAATCACACATTGTTAAAAAATGACAGCAGATATCGAGACTTAAGAAGTGGGGTACTCTTTGCAGTAAAAACTGCAAAGTCAGAATTATGATTTCCAATTTCCAGTATCTGACAGGACCCCCAGTTTACTTAGCATGGAACTTCCAGAATGAGGCCAACAGAAAGTGCTCTGCTCAGCTGGACTGAAGCCCTGACTGAGTCTGCACAGTGAGCCTGCTGGCCTGGAACCCAAGACTGTAACTGCAATGCAATGCCCTTTACTGATGCTTGTCCCCCATATGTTGGCTACTAGTATCCATGTTCTCTCTCTCTCTCTCTCTCTCTCTCTCTCTCTCTCTCTCTCTGTCTCTCTCTCTCTCTCTCTCTCTCTCTCTGTGTGTGTGTGTGTGTGTGTATGTGTGTGAGACCAAACCCATGGCCTTGTGCATGCTAAGCAAGCAGTCTATCATTGAGCTACAATCCAGCCCATCCCCCTAGTAGATTTAAACCTCTTAACATGATCTTCCATGTCTACTTTTCACTTCCTCAGAGAAGCCAGAACAGCAGCACAACTATATAACTATATATATATTTTTATTTATAGTGTGTGTGTATGCATATATATTTGCTAATCTACTGATGCAGACATGCATGCCAGCTTGGAACCATAACATGAGGAGCCTATAGCATAAGGTTTAAAATTGTGTTCTTGTCCCTGTCAGTCCCTCCCTGTTAGGAGCAATTTGACAATGCAACTGACCACATCCCTGAATGCAGACCTGGTAAACCCTCTTGATCCCCATCCTGAAAGACTTTGATCCTTATTCACAATGTCTATTGAAGTAGGACAGACCCTGTCTGTTACACCGCCTACTAAGACGTAATACGCTCACTTGGCACCTCAGTGCTCTGTACCTGCATAAAGGACCAGGGACGCCTGTGTAAAGGACCATGTAAACGCTTACATGGACTTTCTAACCCTGGGCCAGAGTGGTGTTCCATTTATCTTGAAATGCAGGACCCGGAAGATAGCGCCTTATCCAAAGAAAGTGCACACAGGTAAACAGATGAAGATGTGCTTGGATTTTATCATAAAAACTGCACTTTATTCTTGACTGCCAAGTTTTGTAATTCTATGGATTTCCACTGGGGCTTAAATTATTCACCTCACTCCAAAGTCATGCCCAGCATGTTATTACTTAACCGCGTCTACTGTAACAGGCGGTGTGCCAGACATTATGCACTGGGCTGAGAATCCAAACACAGGCAGCATAGCATCCTCTCTCTTCGGGGAGAAGTGATACCTGTACACAAACATGGGTAGCAGGTGGTAAAATCCATGTGAGCAGGAGAGAACAAGGCACACAGCTCAGGTTAGGGAAGGCTCCAGGAGGAGGGGTGTGGGACTCTGGTTAGGTCTCCAAGAGAAGGAAAGGTGGAGCATTTCAGGAGACAGTGGAGAGAGGTCAAGGTGAGCCTGGGAGCTGAGATCTGCAGGGACACCCCCAACCCCCAAGAGGAAAACAATTTTGCAGAGTGTTAGGGCCTCATAGTATTGAAGTGACTACAGCTAATATCTTTGAGACAATGACCAACTTTCCATGCAAAATCAATCATTCTAGCTCCAGCATACTTAGAATGGGTGAGCAGATGTAACCTCAAGGGGACCACAGCATAACGTGAAGCCAGTTCAATGAATTCAAACACTAGAGACAGGAATGCGGTGAAGGTCCTAAACAGGAGGTATTTGGGAAACATAGGCTGTAGGCTTGGTGTAGTGGCAGTGTCTGTGGAGCACTGTGGCATAAAGGCATGACTGGGTTCTAGACATCTGCTGGTTACTAGGTGGGCTATCTGAGGGCAAAGGTTGTTAGGGGCGGGGAGAGTGAAAGCATTCCTGAAATAGAAGAGATAAGGGGGGGGGGAAGAAGCAGATTTGGGAGAAGAAATGTCTAGTCACAAGATGTGTTGCCTCTAAAGACTTGTGACACACTCAGAGTCATATCTGGAGGTCCCATTTGTGGCACTGGAGCTCAGACAGAGGTCAGGACCAAGAGCAGCCATAGGAGGGTCGTCAGGGTACAGGTGGAGTTGAGGCAGGACTGATGGGGTTGTACTCGGGATAGTTTCACTGGAGATGCGAAAAGACTGAGGCAGAGTTTGTAAAAGATCCACTTTCACAGCAGGGCTGCAGAAGCGGGGAGGGGTTGAGGAGAATGCACCCCTGAGTTACTAAGCCAAAAACAAAAACAAAAAAAAATGGAGGGGGGAGAAGGAGTCATCCAAGTCACCTGCTGTAAGTGCTGAGACTGGCTGACAGAATCTGGCAATGCAAAAGCCACTGTGGTTTCCATTAAGTAGAATGAATTGTCAAGGAGGGGCTGAGCGGAGGACAGGAACTAAGGACTATTGTAGATGGGGGTCGGGGGTGGCAGACTGTGGAGCCAAGGGAAGGCTTATGAGCTGTGTAATCTTAAAGTTAGAGAAACTTCCATGAATATGATCTAGGCAGAAGGAGCTAGCTTAAAAGGAGAAGCTAGAAGAAGCGCAGACAGTGAGATTCATCATAAGCCAAAGAACTTCATTGCTAAAGGTTTGGAGTTGAGGGCTGGGGAGATGGCTCAGTGGGAAAGGACCTGAGTTAAAATCTCTCCATCCCCCTTCCCCACGAACCAAAAGATAAAAACAAACAAACAAACAAACAAACAAAAAACATGTAAAGCTGGGTGTAATAGCATCAGTCTTTAATCAAAAAGCTTCTAGATCAAAATGAGAGGTCAAGACAAGAAAGTCCCCAGAAATCTGGGGATCAGTGAACCTGTGGGAATCATTCCACATTGAAAATCCTATCTCAAGATGGTAGGTGAGGTTTGACATCCAAGACTGTCCATTAGCCTCCATATACACTCTGTGACATG